TTGTTCCCAAGAGGTAAACAAGTCCTGAATAGAACGCATAATGGCGTTGGCAGCTTGCAAGGAAAAATGCCAACATTTAGTATTTTCACTGCAATGAACAAAGTAAAAAATGAAAGTGAAGCAAAAGTCTACCTCATCAGCAACCTTGGGAGGTTCAGGCGCATCATCAGTTAGCTCCACCACCTGTGGAGACTTTCCCGTATCTGAGTGAGTAGGCTCTACCATAATGGGTAGGTCCATGGGAGCNTGGGCGAGTAGACTCTGCCACAATGGGCAGGTCCATGGAAGCCTCTGCAGAATTTAAGAAGCAATGGATCGAAAAACAGTAGCACAAGCGAAGGTAAAATATCAAAATATGTATTACCTTCTGGTTCGACATTTGAGGGGTCAGCGCCCTGGGAAGATAGTAGCCCTTCAACTGTCTGAGATGAAGGTTCCGGGACTAAAGATTTCTCTTTAAACATGGTCCCTTCATCAGTTGATTTAGATGAAGCAGTTTCAGTAGGAGGCGATGAAGTAGGAGTTGCCAAGACCAAAGCTTTCGAAGGAGAGGCTGAATTCTTCTGGAAAATTCAGGTAAACCATTAGTACATAGAGATGGATATTTTGTGAATAAACAAATTCAATTACCTTCTCCTAAGGATGATAGGAGCGTCATCATCATCATCATCCTGCAAAATGGGAAATGCTGAAGCTGGCCGTTTGCGGCGGAGGGCCTTTGGCTATAGTAGCCTGGCAGGAGGAGAAGCAGATGGAAGAATAGGACGTTTAAACCGAGTAGGTGAGGAAGGATTCCTGATGGACACAGGGGTAACAGAATGGGAGAAATAGAAGACGTGTCTGGTTTATCTAGCAGATGGAAAGCACGGTTGGCATCAGTTGTGAACAACTTGCGCATCACAGACGACCAGAGTTGGTCAAAAAGGGGATGTGTGACAGTGGTAGAATTGAAAGGGGCTAAAGAGAAACATTTGGCCAAAAGATTATTACTGGCATCAATGGCTTGCGTCTCGGTTTTATTGATAGTATGGAAACGCTCTGTCAAGTTTTTAGAATAACAAGGAGGAACATGCCACATTTGGCCAAAATCAAGTTGTCGAGCAAAAAATTGGGGAAAATATATCTCAACCCCTACCTTAGCATTCGAATCTGTGACAATGTCATGGAACAGTTCTCTCCCAACCAAAAATTGAACCCAGATAAGCAAAGAAGTGCTCACTTCAGCTAAAGTAGAAGGAGGTCGTACGTAAAAAGGGATCTGGTGAGGAGAAAAGGGGAAGAAAGAAGGCGTTGAATTCAAAGTATAAAAAAATGTAAAAACGACTCTGCTGAACATATTTACAGGGTTCAACTGATGAATGAATAGCCCATAGCAGCTGACTGTTCGGAGAAGAGTTGGTGGAGCACCAAACTGTGGGAAATAAGCTCTCAACCACAACTGAGCAAGCTAAAGAGGCCCGCTGCTAGTGGGAGGTGCGTCACTCTTTAACTGAAATTGGAGGGAAGTCATGCCTCTATAAAAGGCGTTTAAAAAGAATTGTCATGCCCGACCATTCAAACCTAATATTGTAGACTAGATTGTGAACTAGTTTAAGCGTAGTTAGTTGGATTCAATTTTTTTAATGAGTAGACTCACAGTCACACCATTTAATTATGAGTTATGACTGAAACCATTTGTACAGAAAAATGGCCATAGAATTTCACTAGAAATCTCACACGGAGGTGGGTTCCATTGTGAATAAAATATTTCAAAAAATACGGGCCCCACCTATGTTTTGTGTGGTCTAGTAGAATTCTGCGTGCACAATATTCTGTGCACACTGCAAGGTTCTTTTTTATAGTCAATTATCATGAATTTATTGTACCCAACATACATCTCCACCTAACTTAGCCGTTGTTTGAGCCCAATTTTTGGCCCAAAATACATTTTGGATTAGTATTTTACTGCAGAATGTGTGGTTGAAAAATAAAAATAAAAAGTTTTGAATTTGAGCATAAAATTATTTTATGAAAGAATATGTGGTCGAAAATAAATTTTGAAAAAATAAGTTTTTGAATTTTTTTTTTTTGAATTTTCTCTTTTTAAATTTTAACCATATTCTCTAAATAAAATAATAATACATACAAATCTAAAAATTTGTATTATTTTTCAACCACATATTTTTTTCATTAATCACTATTCCAAAATTTCAAATTTCTTCAAAATGGGGCCAAGCATAGGTTTAGATGCTTTTGTCGCCGTGCAAAGCATCCAAGTTTGTCACACAAGGATAAATGAAAATCCAACAGACATGACCTTCCAGGTCTATTTCCAACTTAATCGTTGCAAGTCATGATTGACGATTGAATTTAATTATATATAGTAAAATAAGATAAAATTAGCTCAGTTTTTTTAATAAAATTATATAGATATTAATTTTATTTTAAAAGATGTATAAGAATTTATATTGTTCGATATCATTCGTAGTAATTATAATTATACTTTGATATAAATTCAATCAAGTACCACATTTTAATTTAATTTCAATTTAGAATGTTGTTCAATTCCATTGAGAGAAATTGTCATCACCCGTAATAGTTAGTTGTTGACGTGAAATATGTATAACTTCAGTGGAATAATTGAAGGAATCGACGAAATTATCCGATAGAAATCAAATTAAAGTATAGTTACTCGATTGAACAAAATTGAAGTACGAATATTTAGAATAAAAGATAGTTACCGTGAATGAAATTTATCTCAATTTACAATAAATTCACTGATGACGAAATATGCACGAAAACGACACATACAATGTATCTAAACATTTGAAGAGAGACGTGACAAATATAAATTCTCTATATATGATGGTGATTGTCAAGTTGGGACAATAATCTATTGCATTTTCCTTGACTAATCCTATTAAAATAGTGAATTGCGGCTAATTGTTGAAATATGATTAGCACATTTGTGATATTAGTATTTATGAATAATTTAAAACGAGAAAAAGCACAAAAATTAACTACAAAAAGTCTTTGAATTGTGATACCAAAAAGAAATGAAGAATATATATGTTTTTTTAGTGGAAAGTGGAGGGAAAGTACGGTATTAATTCTCGAATTCTCGATTTTAATTGTGAAAATAACAATTCTAGGGTTGAACCCCAACCTTGAGGGTCCCCCGCCATTGTGGAGGAGGTAAATCGC